TACACTCATAAGTTAGATATTATATTAAAAAATACTCTAAACGAAAAGTATCAATTTTTCATCATTAGTTTGGTTAATAATATCCTATAGTTATTAAAAAATTATATTGTGAAAAATAATCATCCTCAATTATAAGAATTAATATACATAAACATGTTGTTATCAGTGCTTGCGACCCCTTCCGTGGTACAACTAAAATATACATTCGATACAGTATTTAACAAAAGGCAACATGACTTATTTATTTCTGTTGGCAACACTGTTTAGCTGTTAGTTGAAACTTATCGTTGAAAGTCGTGAATTTGCTCTGTGCGAAAATAAAATAAACTTTTGGTTAATTAAGTGATCTTTTTTTATTTTTGGCAAAGATCGTTTCAACTTTTCTGTTACGTTAATATTTCGGTAAGTATTATCATGAAAAATACTTGCTGTAATTTTCCTATTGAGATATCGGCGGCCATTGGTAAAAGCTCTATAAGTTGTTTACAAACCACAAAATTTTGTGTTTTATATAGCATTTTATAACTTGTTTTCCCTTCCGTGGACAAACTTCTCAGTGGACACTGTGTCCACCGAAGGGTAAAGGTCCACGGAAGTGAGTTTTACTTAGTTCCTTAACTTGTATTAATACAAAATTTTGTGTTTAGATTAGTTAATATATTAAAGCACGTGTTGCTTCGAGCCGTCTGAATGCTATTTTTTTATTTGTGCTCTGCTTTTTTTATTATATTTAATGGTTGGAGTAGTATGAGATTTTTCTATATTTCAGGTAAAAATTCTGCGAACCTATAGATCAAAACTCAAGCTAATTGATGATGAATAAAGAACAGACGTCGTGAACAAAAAAAATAGTATGCGCCGAGAACGTATAGAACTGGACGCAACTGCTAACGCAGAAATACGTAAGATGTATAGAGAAAAATACTATAACAAGAGGTAATATTAAAACGATTGGCCGATATACTCCTAGAAAACAGCGCTAAATAAGAATAATGTGGCGAGTAAAACCTCGAAAACGCCGTGAGTTATTAAAGATGCGAGAAGCCACCGCTATACACTTCTTGAAGATAATACTCCGCCGATGAGTCATTCTTCATCATCTTAGACCTGTCCTTTATAGAATCAGAGAAATAAGTCCCAACTTACCCGAATTTACTGAGTGATGGCCCAAGCATCCAATACAGAAATTAGTCAATGTTTTACTTGATTTTAAATTATAATGGCAGAGAATTGAACATTTTAACAATGTTATATGGCACTACAGCGAAAATGATCATGGCTGTGTAAAGAGACTGTGATAATTCAGTTGGGTAAAGACGCGTCCAATTATGATTGTATTATGACGTGTTTAAAGGAAAATTGTAGAGGTATAGAGATTGAGAGTAATTTCCAATTCCGATGAGTCTGATATAATTTTTCCTTTGTTATCAACTAAAAAAAGAACAACGATTTTCCTATGCAAATGGTTATTCTATATTTTGATTAGATTTAATGTTACATATTTTTTTTTCTTGACATTTCTAATGTCAACAGAAGAGAAATCACTTCCTTGGACAATTTTATTTTATTTTAAAGTCAACAAATGTTGTATAATTTGTTTCGTTTTTTTATATTAAGCACTTAAGTACAGTGTAATTATTATTTTGTATCAGTTAACAGAGTTTTAAAAGCACAGTTATTGATTGAAAGCCTAGTTATATCTTTTCTGTTGATTCTTACGTTTTTTCCGTGGACACAAAAAAATGTAAATGTGGCCTATTTTGTAGAGAATAAGGTTTTGATCTCTGAATTTAATCATAAAATGATGCTTTTGTTACATTTTATAATAAAAGTTGATTTTTTACATAAAAAGTTACTTCTTTTTATTTCCAAGTTTTTATTCACACTTTTGTTTATGACCCAGCTATTTCTTTTTTTAATTCTATGCATAATCTTGACTATTTATAAATAAATAATAATCAAATGATTCTCTCAATAATCGAGTACTGCTCTCCTAAAAGTCACAGACGATATTCGATGGGCTATGGAGACAGAATTTTACTTTACTGGTGTTGCTTGACATCAGTTATGCTTTTTCTTCTGTTGATTTTATATTTTACTCGGTATTATCCTTCAGTCAATTAAAATTTCCTCTTCCTCTATAAATTGATTTGACTCATATCTTCGGGGCTGCTCGCGGCGCATTCGCATAGAAAATTCGGAATGAATTCTTGTGAACTAAGCGCGGGTCTGCCTTAGGGTGTCGTTCTTTCGCCTTTTCTTTTTTCTATTTTTATTAACTCAGTCACTCCAGTTATTTCTTCCAAGTTTCCCTCTATGCTGACGATTTGCAGCTTTATCATAATTTTCTTCCAGCACAAGCAGACTTAGCTATTGCTACTGTTAACGAAATTTTACTCGCGCTTAATGCCACTAAATCTCAGGCGATAATTATTGGTGTTAGGTAGGGGTCATCAATAATTATATCTAACCTGTCCTGGCGTGTACATGTAAGTGAAATTAGTCGAAAAGTTCACTACTCTTTTCATTCGCTTCAATGCATTCAAGGTTTATTGCCGTTAAAGACTACTGGACTTCGTAAATTTGATCACGTCTCTCATCTTCGCAAGGATCTCAATTGGCTCCCAATACGATTTTGAAGGAACATTAGGATTTTATGCCTGCTCTTTAATATCCTGCATAGCCCTTGCATTGCACTTAAGAAATATACAGCGTGTCGTTACAACCGCGACAATAAATGAACACACGTCTTACCCTACTTGCCAATTATCATAAAAAATATTAACGTTAAAAAAATCCATAATAAAAAAAACATTTCAAACAAACTAATAAAGTAAAAAAGAATCAACATTTGTAACATCCTATACAACTACAACTGACTGATTGATACATTTAGAGACTTTGCATTCGATTCCACAGCGTCCCATTACAAGTCTCTCCTTCTAAGAGTATGTTTTGTCTCTTTAAAATTCATTCAACCCATTCATATGCTTTGTGACCTTTACAAATGATATTTACGTTACAGTTTTATACGTAAGGGTGTTCTAAAATTCTTTGTTTTGGATACAATAACTCGGTAAATATTAATGTTTAAAGAATGTTCTTAATATAATTTTAAAAAGTTATCCTCTATTTGTGTATTCATTTACTGTCGCGATTGTAACGACACGCTGTATACTACATATATATATTTATATGTATTGATATTATATTTATAAATATTGCATATAAGTGTATTATAATTAATGTATATACACCATTAACTACCATTTGGGACAATTTCCAGTCACAAGACTGCTAAAAGAAATTTCTTAAGAAATAATCAGAGCCTTTATACAACTCCTTTCATATAATTACATTTCTTTCATATTTTCTGTGTACATAAATTATAAATTATATAAAGTTAATTATATAATTATATAAAGTTAATTATATAATTATATAAAGTCCTTAATCGGTAATTTTATACTCTTCTTGTTAATCACGATTATTCTTATATACTACAAATATACTAATGTGTGTAATAAAGGGAGGCATGTATGGTTGCGTTAACAATTTCAATTAACTCAAGTTGGGTTAATCAAATGATTACTGCGTGTTTGCATTTTAAGCTTATGCTATTAAGAGCATTTTGGAACGACCACATGTGCATGGAATCATAATAAATAATATGTTTAAAGTATTTTTAGCCAATACAATATTCATTTATTATTATTTATCATATGAAAAATAATAATTAAATAAATAATTTGATAAACGAAAAAAATATATATGTTAATTAGTGCAGTTATGTAAGTTAATTTTTATTTAAAACATTATGGGCAAAATTAGAACATTCTTCTGCAATTATGAAGCTATGAGGTCATTTTTATATTAAGGTACATTATTTGTAAATTTAAAGAAACTGAATTCAATTTACTGTCAATTTAAGTTTTATGTCGTTCATTTGGGATGTTCAGTACCTAATGATAAAGCGGGCTCCAGTTACCACCGCACCGCCACATCCACACCGCTTTATTAAAAGGTGACAATGCATCTGCAACTCTCGGGTGTTACAAATGTCCATGGGTGGCAATAATCACTTAACATCAGGGTAACTGCCAATTTGCTACCTTCTTACATAATGCCGATAACTGTGGTAAAGCCACCCGACAGTCGTCACTGTTGCATGAATGGGCATATGTGAAGGGGAATTGTCATACTTCTGCGTTTCGTCTGGTGAGTGTGATAGTCGGGGCGCACTTTATATTAACGTTAGGTTAGGTGAGGTTAAGAACATCTGCAACTGCTGCAGCGTTGCAAATGTCCATTGACGGTGGATTATCACTTAATATACCTAGTACAACTACACCCACACACACACATTCTAACGTGTACACGTACGAGCACACACAAAGTTAGAGTAGAATTAAGTCATGATTGATATATTCCGTATGTGAACTGCGAGTGTGCTTTAACCGATATTAATAAAACGATAATAGAGGAATTTTAACCTTATTTAATTCATTTTTTATTTATAATACTTTATCTTCAAAATAAATAAGGTAAAATAAGTAGAGTGGGAAATGTACATACATCACGCATATATGTTACAACACTTTTTCTTACGTGAGTGGCGTAGTACGTAATAGAAAACATTTCTGTTTTCTTGAATTGACAATATTTTTTGTAACCCACTCTTCGTCTCCACAAAAGGAAATTTGGGGATTTCCCTATACACTTCTGAGAAGTTTAATTTTGTTTCGATTCATCAGATCACACAGTTAACCACGTACGCACTGGACGGATTTGAATGTAATTTTGCCAGTTGTTCATTCAAAGAATACTAAAACATATGACCGTCATCTTACTTCGTGTCCCGAGAATAAGCTGCCAGCCCTTGTCTCGAAACCATGAGGTAGAACACTTTAAATTAAAGCTGATACATTGATACCGTTCGAGTATCAATCTTTTGGCAAAATTGTTTAAAAGAACCACCGCTAGATACGAATGTTGCTCTAGTAAAATATGTCGGGATTTTCTCTGAGAAGTTTAGCATCGTCAGGGCAGTACATGATGATGTTGCCGACGGTACATGGCCGCTCGCAGCATTCGCTCGCCACTTGTCTCCGTACTCTCCTCCAATGCTCCTCGGCGAGTATGCGTTGCTTGTACATACCCTTTTGGAGATCTTTTGGAGCCATTTTCTCTGGAATCAAACGTATGAAATTAGCTTCGTCTCAAACAGTTGCGCAGTTTGTGTGGTATTTTTGAAGATTTAATATAGTTTTCTTCCCTGCTTACAAGTTATGCGATACAGTGCTGTTAGTTAAATATTTACTTATAAAATGTTGCTAGCGTTTATAGTTCTCATAAGAAAGACCTAGGAGAATATTTCCCATTGATATGCCGTATTTTATTATCCATCTCAAAAACCAGTCCAGATCTGAATGAACTATTAGAACACTTTCGATATTAAACAGTTCATATGCCATAGAATATTCCAAATATAATACCATGCATACTTTAAATAAAAATAAAAAGTTCAACTATGTCACTTACGCCCGATTTCTGAAAGATAATGGTAGCAGTCAACTAATCAGCTGTCAAATGGATTTTCAAATGTTATTTGAGTTGCCAAAAGGGTTGTTAAACTCTTTGAATTGATCATTCTGATCATTAAGAAGATCAGGGTTTCAGAAACTGGGCGTCAGACAGCCATTTCATTTAAAAGTTTGAACGCTCATAATGAACTATACTCATGACGCCTCATAACGCCCACTACAGGAAAAAGGCCTATTTTACAGAGGGCAAAGTACGGCCACATTAGGGATTGGTGGACATCTCATTTTACAGTGCACTTTGTTGTTCCTTACGGACACAGGAGATTTAGAAGATTTTCATTACTTACTACGGGGTCTAGTTAAAACCTAAAATTTAAACAATTTCATAGTACTGTGCAGGATGATAAATAATATTGTTCTCGTGTAATTTATTTAAAACAGCCAAATATTAAGCGAACACGACTTCTGTAGTGTGCATTATTATTATATTATAAATAAAATGTTAAATGTTCACAGACTTTAACGTTAAACGGGCATGCGTGCGTGATAATGCAAATAAAAATATTGCGACACGTGATGTGGATGTCCCACACACAGACGCTTTACGCATGTCGCGACGCGTGGTTTGCGCGTATATTATTTAGACCAATTCACTGGCTCCTGCTAAATTATACTAAAATAATTTTGTGTGTATACTTAAGTACTTAAAAAAAATAAAATAAAAATAAAATATACATATATGATCGCAGCGTTTCTTGCAGGTCTAGTTTAGTGAACCGGTGGTAGTTTTTGACGTTCAATAAGAGCTTAAAATAAGTCTATGTTGAATAAAGAAATTTTGACTTTGACTGTGACAACGCATGCCTCGCATACCTACCAACCATTAGCGAGGTGTCCCTCTTAACAATTTTGTACACGTTGTTGCAAAAGTTGTCTATTAGTGAAGATAGCCATTTGCTGCAGCTGAACACTCTGTCGGTTATTTTGAACGTTTCACTATTATCCATTCCATATACTACGCTGCTGCTTCTATTTAACAGCAATACAACGTACAGCTGGAAAGAAAACAATTCGTTGACGCTATCTCTATCTGTATATCAACATAACATTTAACCACAGTACTAACGACACAAAAGTAAATATTCCAGCCGGGGTTCGAACTCCAACAACGAATCGGATAATAAATATGTTTAGCATCCAAATATTCATATCGTTCACCGTATGCGCTCCGATAATTTCTAGTGCACGTATCGAATTTTTTCAATTAATTTTATCAAATTTTTAAAACAAAAGAGGGCTTAGTTCCTTCGATTATACTTATATCATTAAAAACAAATCTCGCCATTTTATTATACGATTATGTTACAGATGTTACAACCAAACAAATATATATAAATGGTACAGAATAAATAGAAGTATTTATATTATGTAGTGCTGTTAGTTAAATATTTACTATGTAATATTACTTGGCTACAATATTAGTTTGGCCATTATTAACATTTGTTCTATCATTAGAATCGTCCTAATTATGACAAAAGTGCATCAACACTGAGATGCATTTGTACTGTAGCTTGATAGAACATAACCATCTATGTTCTATGAAGCTATATGTATGTTAGTTATTGACAGCTGCTTAACTAACACGTTTAACTTTCCTGACAAAAATGAACAAACAAGAGATTAAAGTCGTGATTATTTGTTTATCTCTCTTTTATATGCAGTACGTTTTGTTATGCAAAAGTTTTTTTTTTAATATAATATGATACGAATGTTTATGGTACAAACGAAACATATATTTGAATAATTATATCACATAATCTATTAAACTTTAATTACAAATATTTTTTTTCAGCAAATGGACACAAACTTTTAAAATAATTCAAATATGATAAAACAATACATTTCACGTTGTACAATAAATACAAAAAAAAATTATTATCGAATCGTTGATATTAGGTTTTTATTATCATTTTTTTTATTAAAAAAAATAATAATATATCTAAATAAGACATACTCTTAGGCAAAAAAACACAGGACGGCTTTCGTAAACAATTGCACCAACATTATCAATATTTTAGTATCTGTTAAACCACAGTATGGAAACTCACAAGCAATGTAAAAAAATCAAAATACGTACAACATATTTAAGATCCATTTCAAACTTTTCCTATTTCCACTAATAGCACAATAAATGATTGGTCTGGTTAACAGTAACCTGATGAATGAAACTATCTCGACGTTGCCGCTCTAAAAATAAGCTGTCTGTGGTCCGTAGTACGGAATTACTTAAAACTTACATCGATAGTCTCGTTTACAAAATATAACTGTGATAAGATTGAAGATAGTTTGAAACAATGCGTGATTTATTATGCATTAGTTTGAAAAAAAAAAAGCAATAAGTGGTGCGCAATAAACTTAATTGAAAATTCTTTCCCAGGCTCATTACAATAATTAAACTTGTAATAGTCAACTAAATATTTCTAAAGAAGCAATTAACATGTATTGTCATCGTACTCATTTTGACTGAACTTTAATTTAATCGTTTTCTGCCGTGTGCTACTACTAGATCTATGTAGGTAGGTTTATCGTCTAGAAAAGTTGCTTCTCAATCATAAATATTATTTATATAAAGTAAACAAGTAGATAATTTAGTTTAAAATATTCAGGATTTGTGACATAACTGTCTTGCACCTTGATATAAATATGTTATTGTTTTTCTTGGTTACATTGTTGATGTTTGCATATATCATTTTATAAATGCATATATATTATTATTATTATATTCATTAGTGTTACTTTTACTAAATAAAGTAGGCCCTAGCTACTTCACTCACCAGACGAAACTATTCAAGTTCCGTTTCAAGCCAGAACCGCTCATCCTTGCAACAGGATGGCCCTAATACAATAAATTTTCAGCCTGGTTTGCTACCCAGACCACAAAGGAAAGGTGCAGGGAGCACCAAGACTTGCGACATTTGTGCGTTCCAAATCTCTGCGTTATAGAGGTCTGTCACTTTTAAAATTAAATAAGCTCGATGAAACGTAGTAATCATCGTAAAAATTCGATTCTCTTGTATTTAATCCACAATTTATAGTTATAAATTATTCTTCGGATTATAAACAAAAGTTATGATGATATTTATTATTATTAAGAATTATTATTTTTAATGTATGAATAAGAAACATACAACAAAACCAAAATCAAATTAATTAAATTTTTGCTAGGGTAAAACACATTACATAAGCCTTCCTCACTCCAATCATCGACAAGGAATATGCTCGAAATAAAAAACTTTAAAAGGAAGCGCATTAGATGATGCCTACTTTTAAAATGCTTTAGCTTGAGCCGAAAACAAATAAACAACAATTAATTAAGAATATTGGTTAAAGAAATAAAAAATACTACATGGTATATACTTTGTAGTTTTTTATTTCTTTTACCCATAATGACGTGTGAAGTGTTTCAAATAATATAGGAACGTCGATGACCTCAAATGGCCGCGACACGTCAACTGTCATTTGCAAAGCACGGCTTGCAAAGGAAACTAATTTTCCACTTATACAATTTAAAAACTTTTTTAAAAATATGTTATTAAAAGGTAAATAACATATTGAAAATTGAAATCATAATTTATAGAAATTAACCACGTCAAACTAACAACGTAAATTGCCGAAAATTTTTCGCCACTACCAGGGTACAAACCTCTGTTTTCTATGTTGCACATCCAAATAATTTAGCAAACTATATAAAAATTAAAATGTTCCTTAAAGGAAGATTGTCGTGAAACATCGTCATTTCTGTCCACATCCGTGTCCGCCGTTCTTCCATTCAACATCAAGTTGTTGTATGATTACGACGCAATTGAGCATTCTGATCTTTATAAAGCGTTTAAGTCTCTCCCTCTAATTTGCAGAATCTGTGTTTAATCTGAGAATTGAGGTTTATTTTGGCCAGAAAAAATATCGAGTATCGATTTGCTTTCTTGAACTGCAGCGTCACCTTTTACGACACTCAGGTGATACCTCAGCTCTATTCTAAAAGCCTAATACTATAGTGCTGGCTAGTATCCTACCTGATGATAAGGAGTAGTACTGTCTTATAATGTAATGATAATCCATAAAGTTACATAGCAACAATTATGTATCACAGTAACCTATAATTTCACATTTATTCCATGAGTTCATGATCCTCTAGAGAAAAGTGGGTCATAGTCATTAGTAATGATAGATAGACTCATTACATTATCGTACTGTATCGTCAACGGTTGTTAACACGTCAGCAAAATTCGATATTATTCGGATGTCGAGAAGTGGATGAAAGTAAATTGAAAGATTTAATTCTATTCTAAAATATACATATAATAAATAGGCTTAAACAATAAACATAACTTTTTTGGGTCAGATATTAGGTAAGCATTATTCCATTCCATTAAAAGTAATGTTCCGTATAGTAAAACAAGGAATCAGATATCCACTAAAATACTCAAAAAATATAACACACGAAAAATGCTTTAAATATGTTGCCCACGCTTATAAATATCATAAGATTGTTAGTAATATAATTGATAGTAATGAAATTCAATAAAGAATCGCCGTGACCTAAGGATCAACAATATGTTTGTCCCACAATTATTTATCGCGTTCTTATTTGTCTCAAAAACGTTTATCTATTATTAGGAAAGTACACAATCTTGTTTTCAACCTATTAAATTGGAATAGTTAGTCAATTTTGAGATTACTGAAATACGAAAAAAAAATTTTCAATAATGTCTAATGCCTCGTTTTGTATTCGATTGTAATAAATATCGTATAAGTATATTGTTTTTAATGTAGTTACTTATTATATAATTTTTTTTGTAGAACTCCATAAGGGCATTGCGTGCGCATAGCAACTGAGCGCTATCGGACGGGTGATAGGTGATGATAGATAGACGGGAAGTTGTTGTCACACCGAATGTACTAAAAATAAACGTTCAGGGGTCACTGTGTACCCAGACGAATAGTGCACTTGTTTACTTCATACTACAACGCTTAATGACCTTATGCCCTGTTGACTTCGCAAAGTAATGCCATCTTGTTTAGAGTTATATTATTAGATAATAGGTCTTTCGCAATAAGTAAATAATTGATATTAAAATTGTTCTAGTTTTGCATACCTGGAATCGTGCTGTGCGTTTGTATGTCACTGGACTCCTCCTAAACGGCTCGACCGATTTTAATGAATTTTTTTGTGTCTTCAGGTCGATTCGAGAATGGTTTAGTTTCACAATTTTTTTTTCAAGTCATCAGAATTAAGTCTGCCCGGTCCGCTAGTATAATATAAAACATTATAATAAATATTTGGTCTCTGTATATCCTACACTAAGTAGGGTCAGCACAACAAGTCCTTTGCTTCCACTTTCCTCTGTCAGCCATCATCTCAATATTGAGTGATCCCTTTCACAGACATATCATTCTTCACCAGGTTTATCCAAAGCTTTCTAGTTCTTCCTCTAGCTTCGCACCCTCCAACTATATTCATATTCATCACCCTTCTAGTCACATGATTTTCATCCCGTCTAACGTAACGTAACGTGCCCATACCAGCGTCATGTCCATGTCAACCTACCACTCCTTAATTTCTCAGCCACTGGTAAAGTGGCACAAGCTTTCTATGACATACTCGTCTTAAAATGCCATATGCCTTTTTCTTTCATTCGTCTCTTTTGCTGCCGAACATTCCGATCCAGACATGACAAGTCTCACCACCGTCTTGTAAATCTTCCCTTTGAGTTTTAAGGGCAACCGCGGGCCACATTTAACTCCTGAGACCTGTCGCCAGTTCACACAGCCTGCGCGTATCCTATTTGTGACATCTTGGTAAATGCTGCCGTCGTTTTGAACCAATGAGCCGATGTACTTGAAAATCGGAGCAGACTAGAAAGTTTTAACCTTTAATGGCTATATGTCTGAAACTGGATGTGCCACCGAAATCGTAAAACATGTGTTCTGTTTTAGTGGCAGTTATACTTAGACCAACGCTTTCCAGACTCTTTCGCCATTTTCCAAGCTACTCCGGACCCCAGCTACATCTTGTCCAAGAAGCACAATGTCATCGGCCAGCTTCAGACCAGACTTGTGTACAAGCTCTTCTGTTCGTGGCACTTACAATTAGCAGGTACTTTCCAGGCACTCTTTTCTCTTTCACAGCCCACCACAAAACCTAACGGTGTATCCATCCGGTCATATGCCTTCTCCAGGTCAACAAATACTATATGCAGATTTATACGCGCAAAAATTCGAAATTTTTCGCATAGCTGGCGGAGTGCAAAAATGGCGACCATTGTCCAACAACCAGTCATAAACCCGAACTGGTTTTGGGTCGATTCACTCTACTTTCTCATGTCTTTCTATTATCTTCTCCCAAATCTTCATACTATGTGATATGAGCTTTGTTCCCCTATAACTATTGTATCAATTCTGTAGTCTGTCCCATTTTTTCTTATAAATGGGCACCAGACAACTGTTCCACCATTCGTTTGAAATTGCCTCACTCTGCAATAATTTATTGGTAAATAAAGTCGTCCACTTCAATCAATCAACTTTTAAACACTTCTATGCTTCAACAGCTATCAATGCATTTCTCTTGCATTTAACGTAACATATTCTTCTATTAGAAATATTGTACTCAAGTAGTATATATATTATTAGTTAAGTATGGTGCAATATTTCATTACCTCTTTACTGGATTGATTATTATTAGATTGTTTTTGCTTTTTCTACATGTTCACCTATGTATACGTACATATGAATGTTTACAATCGTTTTATCTCTATGCTTTCAATACGATTTTAATCATAACAAACATTTTTGTTATCATGAAAATCATTTGTCAATTATTTAACACTATTTCCAATAACGTTCCACTTTCACCGTATCCTTTAAGCGACTAATAAATAGTCCTACAATGAATGCGCTCTCCTATCAAAAGCTTACGCGTAGCGTTTTATTCATAATAACAAAAACTCGGAATGAATGTTGACAATAATATTATCACGCCATTATATACTATATAAATTCCTACGATTTATTTACTTTATTTTGCAATAACATTAATTATTGGACCGGTGATTATTTTCATAAAGTTTTAAATCTCGATTACAACAAATTTACCGA